GATGAAGTATGGACTTTAATAATAATATATCAGTCTTGGCTGATTAATTGGAACAACTATACTATACTAATGTAAGATGTTAATAATAGAGGGAAAAGGAAGTACCCAGGTTATATAGGAACTCTGTAGAATCTTCAGTTTTTCTGTAAATCTAAAATAATAAACTTTATTAAAAGTCATAGATAAATTTGTAAATGATTTAAAGTAAGTTAACAAAGAGTTTAATTCTTTAATTCTTCTGAGAAAAATGTTTATGTGACCTTAAGGAATGAGGGATAAGTAAGTTAAATCACTTCATCCCACTGGACTTCATATCATATACATGGCTGTGTGTTCATCATTTCAGTGAAGGAAGGGTTAGTAATAATAATGTGTCAGAACTAAAATGAGAAATTTATAAACTTGCCGAATTACTCAAAATGGCTGGATGGCCCACCTAATGAAGATCATTTCCCATGAAAGTTAACCCTGTGATACCTTTGTATAGCAGTTTATGAAGCTCTTCAACATTATTTTATTGTTCTAACAATCCTGGAAGTAGAATAGGCGTTTTTAATCTCTCATCATCAAAATGCATTAATAATTTTTTTCCAGCATGCTGTCTTAGCTAAAGATGTAAATCATTGAAATTAGAGCTAAAAATAATTTCATTGGAGGCAATGTATGTTTTAAACAGTTTTTACAAAGGGAAGATGGTAAATTTATTGACTTAATAGCTAGGAGTTAATATGAAAAACACAATACAGAATTTTTCAGAATTTATCATTATGGTATAAATAGTGCACCATGAAATATTTTGTAGGTTGTTTTTGTTGTAGAAGACATTTAGGTTAAACCTAATTTTTTAAAAATTTTCTGATTGACAATAATTTTTCAGAAAAGGCATACTGAGAGAAATTGTGGAATCATTCATTAGAGGTTTAAAAGTCCAGTAAAAACTGAAGACTAATTCCAGGGATTTAGAACTGTGTAAAGATGGCTTAAATAGCTTTTCTAAGTTTTCAGCCTGGGGGAGGAAATAGTGGAAGAAAAGTACATGCTAATGGCATCAAGGACAATGACTGCCCTGATCTCTTAAAGTACTCTTACACCATACTTTGGGCTTCCTAAAATGAAAAAAAAAAAGTGACTTGGTAGAAGAATATATCATAACCTAACATACTAGCACAGTGGCCGTGATAATAAATGAAAAAGTGGGGAGACACTGAAGTAGCATTTGGATTGTAGTAACAACAGTGGGGCTCTCTCAGCTTACATTCCACTTTTTTTTTTTTTTTTTTAAAAGATTTATTTATTTATTTATTTGACAGAGAGAGAGATCACAAGTAGAGAGGCAGGCAGAGAGAGAGGGGGAAGCAGGCTCCCTACTGAGCAGAGAGAACCCGATGCGGGGCTCGATCCCAGGACCCCGAGATCATGACCTGAGCTGAAGGCAGAGGCTTTAACCCACTGAGCCACCCAGGAGCCCCACATTCCACTTTTTGCTAAGCTTCCCATTATCTCCTTATAGGAAGGAGGTAAATTGCATCTCCTTTGAGCCCGTTTTCTCACTAGAAAATTTGCAGTCTTATTGTTACTAAAGTGCAGTGTTGTTTAATTAAAGGTGGCATTTAAAAAATAGTCTTGCAGTCTGTCACACTAAAAAGGGCTCCAGCCCTGGACTTTTAATTTTTTTAGTTAATATTTTAAATTAATTTCAGTTCTCTCTTAAATCTTCAGTGATCATTATTCCATAAATCTTAATGTTTTAAAAAATACTGTGCCACCAAGTTACCTATCTTCATTATGAAACCCAAATTTCAACAGAAAATGTATTTCAAAAAACAATTGTCTTGAATATTTAAAGTTTCTTTGAACAAATTTTCTGTTACCTTTGAATATTTTGGTGAAATTTTCATGAAATTGTTGAATTGTATATTGACATTGTAGAGATGTATTTCAGAAGAAGCTTTCTACAAAAATGAAGTATTAAGCTTAGACTGTCTTGTTTAGATTGATATATCAAATTTAGGTAGATTGGTATTTTATATTTCATGAATTAATAATTTTCCTTGAAATGTCCACAGGGAAAGACGAGTAATAGATGACTTAGAACTTAATTCTGGAAGTGTCAGTAGTTTGTAATCTATCTGTGTGTCTCACATTCTTTTTTCTTTTTTTTTTTCTATACCCAAACTCTATTACAGCATTTTCTTCGAAATGAATAAATGTATATTTTTAATTCCCTTGTATTTCTTGAGAACCACATATGAATAAAACAACATATGAAGTATACATGGCAGTGGTTCACGAAATACCTGGAGATCTCTCAGACTCTTAGCAAAGTCAAAACTATATTCATGATAATACCAAAATATTATTTGTCTTTTGACTCTTACTCTCACCTAGCATACATTTCTCTGAAGGCTAATAGAATATATGATCATGTGTTCTTGTTCTTTTTAAAACAGTTCTTGGTTTTTTATTTCTGATGTGTTAAATATCAATTGATATAACTCAAACAAAAGGTCTTTGTGTTCCTCAGTAATTTCTAAGAGTGTAAAGGGGTCCTGAGACCTAAAAGATTGAGAACGTTCTCAGTGTGGGGATACAAAGTTGAAGACAATTCTATTCGATAAATAGGATTGTTTTAATAGAAGATGGTGGTAAGAGTCAAGAGATTTACAGGGAAAATGCTAGGGACTTAGGAATTTTTTTATATTAATTTTGGTATCTAATTATAATTAGTTCAGTAAATTATTTTGGTTTAGGAAGACCTAAAAAATGTTTGGTAGAGTTGGAAATGAAACCAGAAATTAAACTGATTTAATTTTTGGTTGTGGAAAAGAGCTGCTTAGGTGTCTTTGATGGATTTTAAAAAATATATTTTATTCTTAACAAAATTTGAGAATTAATACCGAACTTTTTTCTTCTGCATGCCATGTATTGTTGCTGGTGTTTTTCTTAGGCCACTGACTGGATCCCATTAAGACCAAGGAATTTAACAGAATTTTAAGTTATTTTTTCTACTGAAGAGTAGCCAATTAAACACAGGGAAACAAGGGAATGATTTGACAATGCAATGCCTACATCTAGAGTTTCTGCCACTATTGAATAATTGTGTTACCAACTTAAGTTGAATGCTGTGTACATTCATTCAGCCACAGCTATCTGAAAAATACTTTCAAGGAATGATAATTAAAAGAGGAGGGGGAGGGGTCATTTTCTAAGAGTGTTCAAAAACAAAATTACAGTGAGTGTATGTGTAAGAATTGGTAATATATCTGTATACTTGTCATTGGCAGCAAATTAAGATATACATTGAATGTTAAATGGAAGCAACCTGTAAGGTATAATGAGAGTCTACAGTATTTAAAAATGGGGAAGTTTGACATGCTGTAGAATAGTTGGTTACAAAGATTCACACTAGTGAATCCAAAAAGGCATCAAAAACTACTAACGACATGAGACGTTTTTATTTTAAAATTTTTCTGGGATTTACTTTTAAAATAAAAAGGATGAAAAAATAAATAATAAATACATAAAATGGATGAGTGGATGGAACAAGATTGGCCATGAGTGCCATGAGTTAATACTTGATAAACCAGTGTGATGGGTATGTGGGGTTTGTTATTCTAGTGTGTGTCTCTCTCTGTCTCTCTCTCTAATGTTGGATAATTCCCATAACAAAGAGTAAAATCTAAAAAAGAAAATGGAGAAATAAGAAAAAAGGGGGATCTGGAAAAGTGGGCAAAAGGCATTAAAACTCATCCACAAAAAGATTGAAAAAAGTATTATTCCACTGTTGAACTGCTTAGAGAGAAAAGATAAAAAGAAATTGGAGGAAAAAAATTTGTAAGTCCGGAACTGAAGAGATTAGGAATTGTGAATCTTAACCCTTCAGACTATCAGTGAAATTGTAGTTTCTATAAAGTAAAAAGATTAAAAAAAAAACTTGGCTAAAATATTAAAGAGATCTGAAACCAAAGGCGACACACATCCCTATGACATATACAAGAAGGCTGGTGGAAAGAGAAAAGAAGAAATAAAACATGAACTTAACGGGACAACAGTACTCAGGGCCATGTCTATCCAGGTATGTCATGCATTAACTTCACGTAGGTTGGATGTTTCCTTTTTCATGGGAAGGAGAAAAATAAATAATTCATTAGTGAACTAGTATTTATTGAGATATAAACTGGTGTCTAAGAATTGAAGGGAGGGAAGGATTTTGAGTTTATTAATTATAATGTGGATAAAAAAGGATGAGACAAAATTCTCTCTAGAATAAATGGAGTATTTTAAAGATGATAGAACAACAGTAAGACTGGAAAGTAGAGCAATAGAAATAATGAAATGTTAAAACTGGTAGGCTAAAGATAGGAAGAAAGAGAAAGATTGTGTATTTACAGACTGGGGAAATGTTGTGTTTGAGAAATTTGTTGTGTTCATTATAACTACTTGAGTGTGAAATTAAGGCAAGTAAACTTTGGTAAGTTTTTCTTTAGGTCATTTGAATGAATTAAATAATGATGTTCCAGGTGATATGTCTCCAAGAACTGAAGAACTTATTTGTTTCATAAGCTGTAATCATCTGATTTCACATATGAATTTATGAAGAAGATAGCATTTGTATAATATGTTGAGTTATTGTTGAAGATACTTATTTTAGATGTGCCTTCTTGCTATAAACCATGGAAGTGAATTTTTCAGGTTTCTGACTTAGAAATATCATATTCTTTATGCTTTGTTTGCTTTTCCATAGGAAATGGAATATTGTGTATTTAATTTTTTAGCATACTACAGGTATGTACCTTAGCCCTAATATTTAATGATTTCATTGAAACCAATTAATTTTCTCTGCTACATTATCAGCAAAATATTTTTCTAAATGTTATAAAAATTAACTTTCAGGAACCATTTGGAATGGTCAGCCCTAAGCCACGCAGCCATCGTGCTTAAATTGGTTTTTGTAAACGACTTGTGTGTGTTTCGTAAAATATGCTTTATTTTAAAATTAGGGCTTCCTGTTGCAGCTGTTCCAGGAGCTCTGAGTCCTTTGGCTATTCCAAATGCTGCTGCAGCAGCTGCTGCAGCTGCTGCTGGCCGAGTGGGTATGCCTGGAGTCTCAGCTGGTGGCAATACAGTCCTGTTGGTTAGCAATTTAAATGAAGAGGTTAGTAAAATAATTTTCTAATGTTCATTCTTTAACTCCATTTCATTTGTGAAAGTTTCTCATGTTTATTTCATTTTGCACTTGCCTTTCTTTTTATGTACATTCATTAGTCAAAGTATTTTCTGTATGTTTCTACTTCTGAATAAAATCTATGTATTTGTTTAGGTAATATTTCCTTAGTCATATCTATATATATATATATATATTTATTATTATTATTATTATTTTTTAACCTAACTACCTATTTTTCCTAAGAAAAATATGGTGAAGTACTATAGTATGGCTTTTTCTTTTTGTTGTTCTCAAAGGCAAATGTGATCTAATTTGCAGATTTAACTGTAAAACAATTTTGTTCTTTGCCTTTTCTAATTATTTGCTTGTTCATTTCATGCTTATGTGTCATTGCATTTTTTTAAATCTTATTTTATGTGAACTACTCTAATACATTTTTCTTTGAAGGTTCTTCCAAAGATCTTGACGAGGCACTCTTCCAGTCTTTCTTAGTAATTTTTTCTTTGCAGTTATTAGTCATTGTCTTCTAAAAATAATTTTCAACTTTATTCCCCCCCGTTAAATAAAATTTATTGCTGAGTTATTTTCTTTAGTTGTACATTTTATGTCTGGTATATTTTATTTTGATTGCTATGAAAGCTGGTATGAAATGTGGGAAGCTCAATGTATCAGTTTACAATGTCCAATTTTAATATTTGTTTCATTTTTAATTGGCCTCTGTTAATACGAACATTAAGCTTATTTTATCATTTAATACTATTGTCATTCACAGTTCTGCATGCTAAAATGTTTGAATCAGAGTGCCTTTGTTTTTCTTTTAAGAATTTTGCCTGCATTTCATAACCAGCCATGCTTATGCAGTTAAAGTTCAAAGTTTAAAATTCCTGTGCATGCTTTCCTTCCCTATGTTGAGATGAAATGCTGTAATTTACTCTTTGATATAGATGTACTTTACCCATATTTGTCTTGGATGACTACATTTTACTCAGTTTTTCTTGTACAGTACATAAACCAACCATTTTCTGACCAAATTCCTGCATTTCCTATGTACTGACCTATATTTTATTTTTTTTTTGTTCCCCAATTCCTTATTTTTTTCTTCTGCATTGCTGTTTCCCTTCCCCATTTCATCCTTTCCCCTGTGTGTTCACCTTCCCTTTCCTTGTCTTTTCCCAAATGCCCATTCCCTTCCCTGTCTTATCCTTTATTTTCCTTGTCCTTGTCTTCATTCCCTGTCTCCATTCCCTATGTTCATGCTTCTGTGCTTGAACAAATGTTCCTCGGACCAACTTGCCCCAATTAACCGCCTTGAACCATGATCCATGACCACCTCACCATTCTGCGGGAACCACCCTTCGTTATGGATGATCTGTTCATCTCCGCTCTTCCTCGACTCTTCTCTCTTCTTGTCTTACGCTGCTTGCTCTTCTCTCCTTCTAAAGATGGTTACGCCCCAAAGTCTGTTTACCCTCTTCGGTATGTTATTGTTAGCACTATACTTTTATTATTGATTTGATTTTTGTTTCACCTTAATTCTTATTTGTAGCTAGCACTTTGGCTTAAAGTTGAATAGTAAATCTTTTGCTATTTTTCTTTGCTATTTAAAACTCTCCATAGACACAAAATTTGTTTTAATGCATGCTGATTTATTTTGCATGGTCTTTAATTTAATATCATTCACATAGCTTTGAGGGTTTATCAAAAATTATTCTTTTCAAAATTCACTGTTCAAAATCTTGATCTTCTTTATTCATTTGTGAGAATGATGAGTTTGAATGAGTGATCATGTTGATGTCTGAATGTTTCATTAATATGTCAGAAAGATAATCTTCAGCTGACTTGCATGTAAAATTAATTCCATTTTTGGATTACCTCTCTGTGGCTCCAAAAAAGGTGTTTATGGAGATGTGCAGCGTGTGAAGATTTTGTACAATAAGAAAGACAGTGCTCTGATACAGATGGCTGATGGAAACCAATCACAACTTGGTAAGATTAAACTGTGTGTTAGCTATACATCTTTAAATCTGAATCTGTTAATAAAAACAAACCCCTTTATGGAAGTAGAAAATCATTTTTTATAGCTGAGCTCAAAATGTCATGTTAATTTTCTTATTTTAATGTATTTATACATGATGAACATGTTTGCATATTCTGCTGTCCTCTTACCAATCCTTAAGTACAATCTAATGGAAAAAGGTTTGGAGTCCAAAATTGCAGTAACAGTTTCATATAATAATGATACCACTTATATTAAAGATCTTTAGTATTTTTCTTTCCTGGTTACTCTCTATAATAGAAGTTAACTGTTCATATAATCTATGGAATCCTGTTTTTAATTATTCTAAGTATTTGTCTAAACTTCGTAACGGAGAGAGGCACATGTAAAGTGTATTTTAGAGATACTGGGTTTTTACAAAATGAAAAACTTGTGCCACATATACCATTGTTAATCCCTTTTGGAATTTTAAAATGTACTTGAGTCAAATTACACATATATTCTCTACTTAGGTAAATAATGTTTCATTTGTCTTTATATACAAAGTCAGATCACATGAATCTGGACTACAACCGCATATTCACAATATGCTAAGACTGTAAATATCATGTTCTTATAATTCTGTTCATTGAGATTCAGGGATGATGATGCCTCACGTTGGTTGTTTTCACATTGTTAATTCTGAAATTTGTCATTTTTCATGTGAGGGCTATGTATTTTTGCTCATAACACCCAGTAAAACTCATAAACTTGAACAGTGTGATATATTTGGCCTTTGGTAGCAGATAGAAAAGTAAATTTGAATTTCATTGTTTCCTACCAGCTATATAAAACTATACATCTGGCTCTCTACTTTTTAAAATGGAGATCTCCATCTTCAGTGAAAGATTTATAAAAGTGCTAATCATGTCCTAGATGCCTAGTAAATGTTTCTTTCTTCTTCTGCTGTGTGTACATCTGTGCTCTGGTAGGGGTAGTCATGGCCATTTGTAAGTAGCATTTTACAAAACATTAAAGCTTTCTCAAATGTTTCATTTTTTCCATCACTGTGTGAGCTGTGGGTGGCATTACCCTTCATACAAAGGTTATACAGGCATCATGGTTGAGAAGTACCTGATGTAAAATTTAACCAAACTCTTCTGGATATTTTTTATATAAGGACTATTTTAAATAAGTGGCATTTTAATTTTTACTATAATTGTATTAGTTTGCTTGGGCTGCTAAAACAAAATATCACAGACTGAGTGGCTTAAACAACAGAAACTTGCGCCAGCAGATTGTTTCTAAGGGCTTTCTTCCTGGCTTACAGATGACTAACTTCTCCGTGTGTCCTCACATGGACTTTCCTCTGAGCTCTCTGGGTTTCTCTTCTTCTTATAAGGACACTAATTCTAACTGAATGAGGGCCTCATCCTTATGACCTCATTTAACTTTCAAAGTCCCTGTCTTCTAGGATTAGAGCTTCAATATATGACTTTTGGGAGAATATAATTCAGTGCATAACAGTACTTAGCATTTGTAAATCTTTTATGCCTGCTTCTTTTAAGACCTTTTTAATAAAGCTTTGACAAATTATATTTTTCGAACTATATGTCATAGTAAATATATTTCTCACTGCTAGATTTTGCTTTTCCGAAGTAGAGGACCATAAATATGTTACTCACACCATTAATACCTTTAATATTGATTTTAATATTGAAAAAAGTGAGAATTTTAAAAATTTAATATGCTTTATTTCTGGGCACTGTTCTCCTTTTGGTTTTCATAGGACTCTATTTGGAAATACAACATGAAGGAGATACTACTCTTTGAACTTTAGTAGAAGAATTTTAACAGAATACCATTTAAGGATAACATATACAAATTATTCTTAAAACATCCAATTTAAGAAAACACTAAAATAGGCATGGTAGAATGTTTATTTAAAAAAACATCTTAATGTTTGCAAATCTTTAAACTGTGGTCTCAAATGATTTAACATGGCCTCTAAGGTTTGCAACAATCTCATTCACATTTAAACACTACTATCTCTTAATTCTCTGTATTTCCGTCATACTGCTTCCTAAGCATAAAAAAAAATCTACTTATATCATGAAACAATATTTCCAAATGGTATGACACAATTACCTTAACAGAATTACACATATATAGATTTATGGATTTGTTTTTTAAGTACATTCAGGAATATTTACAAAAGCAGGCTTCAATAAAGCAAAGAGTAAGTATCCTGTAGACCCTATTCTCTGTTGCACAATTTAGAGTTGATAATAAAAAGGTATATTTAGAATTTCTCAATTACTTTATCATTTTAGTTATAAGTATTCTAAATTATTAAAGTACTATACAAAGTAGATATGTATAGTACAGTGAAAGTGGTGTTTTAACAGGAGGTTAACTTTATATGTTGGTATAAACCCAAGGAAAGGAGATGATGATAATAATAGACAAGACTAGAAATTATTGGTATAAAAGACAGTTGAGAGAAAAAAAAAAGAAGCTGGGTCTTTGAATAGTTAATAAAATAGAGAAGTGGATGTTGAGATTCATTTTTTTAAAAATGAGAGGCTACACAAATAATACTTTGAATTATAAAGGAGATACTGATAAACTCCAGTTCCACATTTTATAAACTCCTGTATAAAAAAATTAAAAATTTTTTTTTAGGGGCGCCTGGGTGGCTCAGTGGGTTAAGCCGCTGCCTTCGGCTCAGGTCGTGATCCCAGGTCCTGGGTTCAAGCCCCACATCGGCTTTCTGCTCAGCAGGGAGCCTGCTTCCTCCTCTCTCTCTGCCTGCCTCTCTGCCTACTTGTGATTTCTCTCTGTCAAATAAATAAATAAAATCTTTAAAAAAAAAAAAAAAAAATTTTTTTTTACCATCTCTTGAATTTGTTATTAATATCTTCTTCAGAGATTAAGGGAAAAGTAAAAGATTATTTTCCACCAAAAGTGCCATTTCCACTGTGCAACATTGGCCATTTCCTCCTTTATCATTGATTGCTTTGCCCATTTACCCCATATTTCTTATAACCAATTTCAAGGTAGAATCCTGTTATTTAAACTGGATTCAGCTTACATTAGTAATTCAAGTAATCTGCTTTTTGTTTGATAATTATTATTGTGCCTCAGTTTTTGACAAGCTTCTTTTTAAAAAATACTTAAAAACCATGATGCTTGACTCCTCATCTTCAGCCCTCATCCACTTGAGATTACGGACTAGAATACCTCTCACTACCTGACTACTTCCAGAGTTAGTTAGCTCTTTGGTTATTTTGCTTTATTTAAATCCCAGTTCTCTATCATCCATCTCCTCTTGGTACAGGTACATAGTAGAGGTTTTGCGCCTAGGAGTTTATTATCTTCTTATTTCTGCCCTTCATTATATCAAAACTCAGCTGTTTGTGCAGTCTTTTCATAACTTTTCAAAGCTGAACTAAGATAGCTTTCTTTATAACAGCCTTAATCTACTTCTTTAAACCACTTCATACCCCAGATTCATTCCTTAAAACACATTTGTGTGAGCTAATAGCACTTTATCATAAGCAACAGAATGATAGAACTTTAAAAATGTTTTGCAATTCAAGTAAATTTTAATAGTTGTATGTACCATCTCATGAATAATGATTTTATAAGTGAAAATTAAAAGTATGTGAAATGCAGTGGAACTAGTGAGAAAATTCGGGACTCAGATGATTTTAGATGATTGGGAAATTGTTATACATAGAAGAGCATACACATAAGGCTAAAGGTGAGAAAAACTAGCATGTCAAGGAGATAGGTTTAATATAGCTGAAGCTTAAAGTGCAAGGAAGTATGGTACTAAAATACCACAAGTTCCATGAGGGGGGTAGTATGGTTTTTGTCTTGATTATCAGTACTAACAAAGTAGTGGGTATTGTTTTACATCATCAGGAAATATGTTCAGAGAAGCTGAGGAGATTTCATTCTTTAATATGGCTTATACCTTTCCTAGTCTGACCTTAAGGATTTTAAGCAGGTAATGACATCAGATTCAGAATTTATGGAGTTCATCTAGCTGCTGTATAATAGAATGGGTTGGAGAAAAGTAGAAAAAATCCAACAGGAAGATAAATTAGGAGACTTGAGTTATACAGATCAAAACATTGTGACAGTGAAAAGTGGAGAATAGAGAGATGAATTGAGGGATAATTAGGAAGAAGGGTATTCTAGGACTTGGCAATTAGGTTGTGGGGCAGAAGGGAGAAAAAGTTATAGATGAGTACAAAGTTTCTTTCTGCAGCAACTAAGTATATGACTTAGCAGGATTGGCAAGGAAGAGAGAGATTCATAATCAGGATTTTCATCCTATGACAGAAAACAGGCTTTTTTGCCAGAATGCTTGTCTAGTGCAAATAAATTTAAATCATCTTGTCCCCAAGGGCTGTTGTAAACTTAAGATTTATTTTAAAAATCATAGAATTCAGTTATTTCTGCTATTCTAAAGAATTCTTTTTGCTTTTGGACTTTGTTAATATTGTTTTTTAATAAGCATTTTTTCTTTTTATAGCCATGAACCATCTTAATGGACAGAAAATGTATGGCAAAATTATTCGTGTTACTCTGTCTAAACATCAGACTGTACAACTACCTCGAGAGGGACTTGATGATCAAGGGCTAACAAAGGATTTTGGTAATTCCCCATTGCATCGTTTTAAGAAACCTGGATCCAAAAATTTTCAGAACATTTTTCCTCCTTCTGCAACCCTTCACCTATCTAATATCCCGTAAGTATGAAACTTGGAGTTTTTTAAGGGAGTACATTTTAAGAGTAAAACATAAAATGTATTATTAATCTTTGCCCTTTTTTTTTCCATCCTATTTTCCTAGTCCTTCAGTAGCAGAAGAGGATCTACGAACACTGTTTGCTAACACTGGGGGCACTGTGAAAGCATTTAAGTTTTTTCAGTAAGCAAGCTTTCTTGTCTTTAAATTAGTGACTTCATAGAAGTTAAAAATTGTCTTCATAGTAATTTTTACCCTTTTTGTTTATGGAAATTGATTCTAGAATGGGTAAAAATTCAGGTATTTAAGCCCTTCCTAATTTTCATGAAGTATCTAATTTCATAATTTTGTTTCAGAAGAGATCACAAAATGGCTCTTCTTCAGATGGCAACAGTGGAAGAAGCTATCCAGGCCTTGATTGATCTTCATAATTACAACCTTGGTGAAAACCATCATCTGAGAGTGTCTTTCTCTAAGTCAACAATTTAAAAAGGGGGAGGTGAAGCTTGAGGGTGTATCACATTGTTTGGTGTCATCACCTATTGACTGTTCAGAAAAGTGGGGACCAGAGTTTGATTTTTTTGTTGTTGTTTCCTTTTTTTTTTTTTTTTTTTTTCCCCATGCTGTTATCATTCCTTGGTTATAAAATGAAATGGCATACGTAAAGGCAGAGTTGTTAACTGCTGTATTTCATCTGTTCTATAGGGAGGCCATTTTTATTGTCTGTTTATGATTTTAGTTTAATTATACTTTCCTTTTTCAACTTAGTTGACATACGTGCCTTAAAAAGGAAAACTAGTGTTGCTATTGTGCATTTACTAGGAAAAAGGAATTGGTTGTCTAGGGCACATTGTTATATGGGAATTACAATATGTTTAGGCAGGGGTGTGTAAAAAGGTTAAGTTTTTGTTTCTCCTGCTTGGAACTTATTTTGAATTATTGGCTTGTCACATTTCTTTCTATTTAATCAAATAAGATACATGATACTGAAAGAATTAAAGCAGCATTTTTTTTAGTTTTTACTACCTTAGGCTTTATTGCTTTAAAAAGACATTGGCCTTTTGTATCTCACAATTCTGGTCTAGATTCAGTTATGAATGTAGGCATTAGTTAAAATTAACAAGATGCAGAGTATTAATTTCTTAAGACAACAAAGTGATTTCTGTAAGTTTGAGCCCTATGTGGAAAGCATTGTGGAATCTTAACCTTTTTGTACACACTCTTGTGGGACGTATCATATAAATGTCAGCACTAAGTAATGTCTTGTTTGTGGCTGAATATTTTTCGTAGATGTTTTTGAAGTTGACATGACTTACGTGCATTTAAATATATATTGCCATCCTTAGTTTGTAATTAAGATTTGGAATATGGTTGTGGATTTCTGAGCATGTGCAGACTGGTCTAGCTAGTTCAGGAACTGGTGCATGTATTTTTCAAAGATAAAGAAAGTGTACTGCGAAAATTTGCAGGAAGATTAATTTTGTGGCAGTTTTCTAAAACTGACAACCAGGTGGGACCAAAGTTTATGTGCCTTTAGTCTTAATTTACCTTGCATTGTAATATTCAGTTTTAATAAATCTTCAAAATATTTTGTATTTAGGAATAGATCTGACTTTAATAAAAACATGGCTCAGAATCTACAGGTCAAATTAATTTGAACAGTTCTTGTCAATCTGAATTGTTGATTCTGTTTAAATGACCAATACTTTTTGAAATTGATGTACTTAGTTTCAAGATTCATAGATTCTGTTATCTATGTAGACAGAATGGTCATGTATATTTTCTATTAGTTGAGTTTTTACATCTTTAGAAATGTAAAATTCAGTATAGTTTGAAAGTGGCACAATTAAAAATTAATTTTCTAACAAAGTTGGGAGGTTTGATGGTTGTTTAATTTCCTTTTGTGTGTACTCTGCTTACCTCTGTAGCATGCTCAATAAACACTTCTGTAGCTCTGTATTCACCTTTTCTGTCTTTCTCTGCTGCCTTTTCTCTCTCCTCTTCTTTGTTTTTCACTCCACTGTGCTTCTGAATTCATGTTTATTCTCTGCCAGGGTGGGAAAGGAGTAATAATATTACAATTCTATGGCTTTATACCATAAATAAATCTAGATGCTGTGAAAATATACCAGCTGGTTTTCTTTTTAATTTAAAAGATGGTAACTGCTTTTCAGGAGGACACATATTAAACATTTCCCACCCTGTTATAATCTACTGCTTTAAAGACATAACTTTTACTGTATCTTGTTAATTCTTTCTATCTCTTTTGTTGTTGTTGTTTTTTTTTTCCAGTAGATTTATGCACTAATAGATCTTTTGGATTTGCCATGCTCTCTTGCTGCAGTTTCATCTTTCATCTTTTGTGTCTGCTAAAGATTTCCTGCTAATCTTAAGATCACCTTGTGAGTTTTAACAAAGGGTACTAGATGTTATTGGGAAGAAACGGTAACATTTGGTCTGTTTTTTGCCATGGGTGGGAAGATAATACATTCAGGTATTTTAAAACTTAAGGGTAATTGAGATGTTACAACTTCCACTTTTTTTTTTTTTTTTAAGGAGTTCAGCTAGGGTGCTATTATGTGTAACACAATATTTTTGGTCACTTTTTAAAAATATATTGGTGTCAGGTAACTTTGGAGTTAATACATGTTCCATTAGGTTTGTTTTGCTATGATATAACTAAGAATTATGCAAAACTCATATAGTAGGAGAATAAAAAAATGAAGGAGTAGGCGATAACTGTAAATGTGCTATATTAATACAACAATTCAGTTATCTCCAAGAAAGAAGAATATAGTAAATAAAACAACTGCTTACATTTGAGTCAACAACTTGGGGTTCTTTGGAAGCTAGGTGATCTTGTATTTTTTCTTCTTAAAATGGGATTATACAGCAGAAGCACTCAAAGTAACAGCAGATGTGCCTAAAATAAAAAACCAATAAATACCATGGCTAATGAATAGTAACTGAACAAAATTTCTTCTAAGAGAACTTTTATCTCAGTATTGGGTGGTGGTTGAAACACTGAAAGTAGGTACTTAGCCACCTTTCAAGTACTCTTTGTGGCTGGCTTTGGGTTGAATGAAGAAAGGAAGGTTTTGAAATGTGCACAGGAGCTGGATTGCTTTAGTTGCTGAGCTGGGGAGAGTTCACAATACTTCTGACGGAGGATAACCAGACACCAAATTTCTTCCTCCCCAGGGAATGGCAAGTTCTTCAGTCTCTTAGAGTACACTGTGATTGATAACACAGCCTTCCTTCCAAAGCACCAAGTCAGTGAACTGGTAATTTTGACATTGTAGAATATTTAAAATTTGGTATATTAAATTAACCCAGTCCTTGTCATATCTAAGTTGCTGAAGTGCTAGGTGAAAATACTGTCAGCATTGTTATCATTACCTCTATATGCCTCAGTCTTTTACAGTGAACTAGCGAACAGTGAGGTGTTCTTATGACTTAGCTACTTGTTAATAGGCCTTACCTTGAATAGTTAGGTTTTTTTATGACTGTGGTAGAAAACCTGGTTTTTTGACATTAAGATTTATTTGGAAATGGGTTTCAAAGCATCTACTTAAGGAATGGATTCTTATGTATTTATATCTAACATTAGAAATGTAATTTAGCATTTGAAAGCCACTAAGAATACCTTGGCTTAACCAGGAAGGGTAACAAATCATTCTTTTCATTATGTTAGGCATATGTTTTGAGGCAGTTTAAGATTTAAAATTAGTCTAACCAAATTACAGTAAACTTAATTTGTTCCTGTAGTTCTGTTTGGATCACCATATAGTTTCTAGGCAAAGGACAAGTCACTTTTCTAAGCCTCAGTAACCTTCATCTATAAAATGGAGGCAATAAATTCTGCTCTGCCCACGTCACAGAATTATTGTGAAGCTCAAACAGGATAAATGCAGAAACGCTGTGTAAGAGAAAGTGTAACAATGCCAAAGTTCTAGGACTGCTAGATTAGCCTGTAGAAAACTTACAACGATAAATCATATCCTACTGCCTTTTTTGCTACAAGGAAGTATTTTTTAATGGCCTAAAATTATTTTTTAAGTGTCAGTCCGGTAAAGCAAAAAGATGGAGAATGCAAATAGATAATGCATCCCAAAACCAAATGAAAGGAGACTAGATTTATTATTCTTAAATTTTCTGTTTGAACTATTTGATAGCCCGATAATTGAACATGGATATGTATTTAATTATAGGCTCTACTTATAAATGGGATATACACACACACGTGTGTGTGTGTGTGTGTGTGTGTATATATATATATATACATGTATGTGTGCGTGTGTGTGTGTGTATATATATATATACACAAAAAAAACTTCAAAGGTTCTGTGAAACTTGGACGTAATTCTAACACTTAAAGACTTTGAAGGCTATGAAAAGAAGAAAAGATAGTCTTATGACTAGTTAGAACTAAGTTTCCTCACTGACCTATTTTAAAACGAATCTGAATTGTTCATTCAGGAAAAAAGGGTATAATATTTAGTGAACTTAAGCATACATAGGTTTCTTTTGTAGTTATATGTTTCTAGAAAAATACTTTAAGCCACAGTATTCGAATTTGTGTACTTACCAAAAATCTTAATTTTATAGTTATTTTCTATTCTAAATACAGAGCGTTTAAGTTTTTTCTCTTTAGGTTTTGCAAATGAAAGTATACATGTTGAAATATCAGATTATTCACATTAAGGACAAGAAGTGTTCAGATATGCAGAAGAATACAGAGAAAATCAAATGAACGCTATGCACTTAGCACTTGTTTCACACGTAACATTTTCCATACTTTATAATTTTAATACATAACTTAAATAAAACATTACAGATTGAACTGACATCCCTGTGTACTTCCTGATCTAGTCCCTACGCCATACCTTCCCCAGAGGTAATCATTAACTTGAATTGAGTGTTTGTTTTTGTTTTTTGATTTTTTTTTTAATTCAGCGGTTGCTCTTGTTTTATATTTGTTCTGTATGCTGTAGCCTAAATTTTTTAGTATTGAGATATTTGGACATCTATACTCTTCTCATCAAATCTCATGACATTTAACCAATTTTAAGGCTTTTAAATCATTTTTTAACAAATATTGAATAAGTTGTTGGAGTATCAAGTTTCTCCTAATGTAAAGATGTGAAAAGCAAGGAATTGCTGATAGTATCTTAAAAGCTGAAATTATGTGTAAGATTCTTAAAAATACATCCTTTCTTGATAGCCATTAAAGCCATCCTTCTTCCACCTTCTTCCCACCCTCCCCATTTCAATGGAAAGTTGCTTCACATCTTTGTTTTCATCCCTTTAATTGGTGTTAGTGTTGTATAGGATTTTTTAGTGAAGGCATGTTACTTTTTGTTATGAAACATTTCAAACATTTAAACAATAGAAGACTATAACCCCCGTCATTCAGCTTCATTTACCAACTTTTCTTGTTCCTCTACCCACTTCGCATCTCCCATATTAACACAAATTCCAAATATATTTACTCATCAGACTTTTTGATATATTTTCCTTGCATTTGTGGTCATAGTCACTATTGTATAGTAATGTCTGGGATAGCCTCACTTGTCAGCATTACAATTTCTTCAGATCTTAGAAGCTTGCTACTAAAAATGCAGTCCCCAGATCAGCAGCAATTAGTATCACCTGGGAGCTTATTAGAAACTCAATCTCTGGCCCTGTCTCTGACCTGCTGAATACATTTTGACAAGATTGGCAGGTCAGATCCATTTGGACATTAAAGTTTGAGAAGGACTCTAGTAGAATATACTTTTTTCCAGTTTCATGAAATTTTTTCCTGAGTGAAAATTTGTTAGTGATTTTCAGTTACTCAGTACTATTAATAACATTAAGGAATAACTAGAACTGAAAAGTATAATATATGTGTTACTGTTTCAAATCTCATTTTAAATACTTCTAGAAAAGTCAAAAGAATTGTTTCACAACCTATTTCTGTTGACCTTTATTTAGAATACAGGTCCTTGGGTTCCCAGGCCCATCCTCCAGTGTGTTTTACCAGTTAAAGGAAATACAGTCCTGCTATTTCTCAAAACTAATTTAGTTTTACAAGTCAAAAGGTAAACAGCAAATAGTAGAAGTCAGTATGATATTTTTATTTAGTCCTAAACCTGAAATTTAGCTTGACAAGGAAAGAAATTCCATGTGAATTGATTTTAAACAATTAGAAATTAACAATCTTATAAGTGCTGACTCAAAGTATGGTATAATAAAGTTATCCCCATGGGTCATTTTAGTAAATTTAATAAATTTAGTAAATAGGCAGCTTCTATTCTTTTCTATTTTCTATTCACCAATGCCTCTTCAATCCATTTTCTGACTCCAACTGGATAGTAGTTTTGTAGGTGAAATACCTGAGCTTCGCTGAGTGATATACTCATAGTTAGAGCTGAGTACAGATTTAGCTTTGCCATAGCATGCCTTTAGGGACTCTTAGCGTAGTTCTTAATGATTTTGTGGCTAGCAGTTTCCTCCAGTGTCCTGTCCTGCTTGATTTTTTTCCTGCTTTCCACCATTATTGCTGTCCCTAAACCTTGCTGCTTTAGCTGTCATTTACACTGTTACTTTCTTCATTTTTCATCCATTCTTTGCGATTAAGTTTCTTGCTCATGTGACTTTTTGTTTTTATAACCATAACTGATGACATTATCCCTTTTTACTTCTGGTTCTATATAATATTATATATAATCTGAATATATAATATTCAGATGCTTCCCTGTTTTTGTCTGGTTCAGCTTAAAATCCTTTTGCCTTTATTTTTCTTTTTAAATTTTGGGATTGTTACAATTCCAGATGGTTCAAATAACTAGAAGTCTTTCAGAAACCTGTAGCATTCATATATTTATCACTATGTTCAATTCTAGTGGAGGGGAATCTGTCAAAGAATTGTGGTTAAAAGAGCTCCTTGAAGGAAACTCGTAAACTTCTAAAAGTTAATTCTAA